ATATAATTGCTTCGTATTTAATAATGCTACAAAATGCGTTTTTTCTCACTGCAAATGTTGTAGCTGGTAGTGAATCACGCGGCGGCCACGAGATGGCAGTACTCAACCTTGCTTCAGAAATGATGCGAGAGACCAAGAAAATGACTGTCGTGCACCAGGATAACAGGATATCGTAGGAGGAATTTGGGCTGTTCTAATTGATTTTGGTTCAGAAAATTTACATACTTGCAGCAGGGAGCCGGAAATGAAAATTAAGTCAAAATAGCGATGTTTTGCTTACCCTTTCACTGAATATCGCCAATAAAACCAGGATGCAAAATATCAAGATCGAAAACATATGAACCCTAAATAGAAAATAAAAACTCACTAACTACGATATACGCAGTAATTAACTTACAGTCTATTCAATCGTACTTCAGCCATCCACGTTACATAGATCGAAAGTTTAAAGGTATAACGCTATTCTAACTATAAACGTGGATTCAAAAGTATTTCCCCATAATAATCGTATTTTTTATTGCAACAATTTATGAGTTTAATTCTTTCGTTTTATTAAGCTACTCTTATGATTCTGGTAGTTCCTTTAGTTCAAGGATTACCTATCAGGTGCGTTACTAAGGGAGGTTGGGGGGAGGTGGAAAAGGACAGCAAGTCAAAACAGCGAAGATTTCTCACATTTCACTGAATATCGTCAATAAAACAAGGATACATAATATCAAGAACGAAAGTATATGAAGCCTAAACAGAAATTACAAACTCACTAATTACGATATACCCAGTTATTTATTTACAATCCATTTAATCGTACTTAAGCGGTCGAAGTTCAAAGTAATCTCGCTGTGCTAAATAAAAACTTGAATTGAAAATTATTTCCCCGTAATAATCTTGACAATTATTACACGAGCTGTACGAGTTTAATTCTTTCTTCTTATTAAGCTACTCTAATGATTGTGATAGTTCCGTTAGTTCAAGTATTGATTACCAGGTGCGCTACTAAGGGTTTGGTTGAAGGTAGCTGGTTGTTGCTAATAACCACGTTCTCTGCGAGATTAAACTACTAAACGAGACTCGAGTGGGCGTTACATAGCGTGACAATTCAGAGATGTTTGCGAATTTCAAAGCTCATTTAGTTGACCGGCTGACAAAATATATGGAGAGTAAAAATTTCGAATATTTTCAGAGATTTATACAGAGCGAGAACATTCAAAATACAAAAATGAAATTATTGCTTGCAACACAAGCATTTCAACGTCTGAAAAGTCTTCTTCCTAAAGCAATTTAGACCTATTAGAACTACGTTCACGATAAGTTTTCGCATCCTCTGTTATAAATAAATCAAATCTGGAAAGAATTGCGTTCATATATATATACATGTATATCATATACGTAATTTTTTCGTATATAATAATGCTACGTAATGCTTTTTTTCTCACTGTTAATGTTCTAGCTGGTAGTGAATCACACGGCGGCCACGAGATGGCGGTACTCAAACTTGTTTCAGAAGAAGTCCTTGTTTTATTGACGATATTAAGTGAAGTGGTGAGAAAAATATCGCTGTTTTGACTTGCTTTTCCTTTCCACCTCCCTAAAACGTCACCCTGTAGCGCACCTGGGAGGTAATCTTTGAACTAACGGAACTACCAGAATCATAAGAGTAACTTAATAAAACGAAAGAATTAAACATATAAAATTGGTGCAATAAATAATACGATTATTATGGGGAAATACTTTTGAATCCACGTTTATACTTAGCGCAGCGTGATAACTTTAAACTTTCGATCTATGTAACTTGGATGGCTCACATACTATTAAATAGACTGTAGGTTAATTACTGCGTATATCGTAGTTAGTGAGTTTGTAATTTTTATTTGTGCTTCATATGTTATCCATCTTGATATTTTTCATCCTCGTTCTATTGGCGATATTCAGTGAAAGGGTAAGCAAAACATCGCTATTTTGAATTAATTTTCAGTTCCGGTTTCCTGATGCAAGTATGAAAAATTTCTGAACCAAAATCAATTAGAACTGCCACTTACCTCCTACAGTATCCTGTTATCCTGCTGCACGACAGACATTTTCCTGGTCTCTGGCGTCATTGCTGAAGCAAGGTTGAGTACCAACCATCTCGTGGCCGCCGCGTGATTCACTACTAGCTGCCACATTTAGCAGTGTGAGAAAAAGCATTACGGCCATTCTTTCATCCTTGTCTCCTTTAGTATGCTAGCAGAAGACCTCATAATTTTATTGCTTCTGTTTTATGACTCCAGGGCCTGCTAAATGTGTCAAGTGTTACAAACAGAAATGAATTTATAATGCACAATTTTTGCACTACGCATCAAAATTAAAAGAAAAAAAATTGAAATTAGAGTATAACACTTTGTACAGAAATGTTCAAATCTTCCGTTATAATATGCTACACTATGTTCTTTGCTGATACAAACAAAGTTAAGTCCTTCCATTTATCATAAAAATTGAGTTAGATACGGCATTTTTAAACACGATGCTTAAAATTGTTTAAGCGTCCTAACAGGAACGGACATTTAAACGCAGAGTAGTAGCGGGTATTTAAATAAACTCCGGACAGCTCTAGCTTACCACCATTTCAAAAGTCCGGCATTTAAATGTTAAAAAGGAAGCTAGAGGGGTCCCTTCTTAAGTGCTAAGACCTTCCGTTATAGCTGCAAGAGATTATTGGTTGAGGGATCGAATCCCGATGAGGTGGATTTTTTTTTCAATTTACCTAATCCTTCCAGCTGCACTATGGCCCTGGGGTCAACTCAGCCTCTTAACAGAAATGAGTACCAGGAATGTTCTTGGAATATTCTTGGGGGTAAAGGGCGGTTGGTGTGTAGGGCTAACAACCTTGCTGCCATCTATGAGCCAATTTTCTAGAAAATGTGGGAACCTCAACATCTCACAACCTTATGGACCTCCACAGCCTGTTACAGGGATACCTTTACTTGTACTTACTGCAGATCCATTGCGCTGACCATCCTATCTGCAAAAGTTGGCACTAACTTCTCTGACAAGCTGTTGTCACTCAGTATAGCTTACCAGCTCTATTTTTCCTCTCATAAAGAAACCGACATTGGTGGGGAATAAAAATCTGCCAGCGCAAGTGAAGACACTATAGAAATTTAAATGATTCAGCTTTTCATTTGAAATGTATAGTTTTTTTGACAAACCCTAAGGTAGACCACACACTGGCATGCATTGAGACATGTAACATTCAAGACTTGGTGTCTGCAATATGACACAAAGAAAGGAGCACATTTGAAAAAAAAAACTGCCACACACTGGTCTGAGTCATGATGCTGATGTCAGCTTCATGCTGACGAATCATGAATGAAGCAAGACTGCATCTTCTGTCTCATGTCTTGATGCAGTTGATGTGCGTCCGCCCTAAAAGGTATTTGACCCACCACCTTCATTATGTCTAGAGTGCAGGCTTATATCTTTCAAGACAGGTAAGCACCACATATAACAGTCATGTTTGCTGTCCATAACTTCGTCCAGTGTGATTAATTCATATTGTGATTTCCAGGAAAATATCATTAGTTGCCAAGCTCATATAGAATGCTTTCTTGTAAATAACTGCAAGAATTATCCAATGTTTGCAGAAATTTAATGCCCTTCTGTATGTTGTAATACTTCTGTAGGTATGCCTTTTTTGTTTAGAATTGACCAACTTCAAATACACTGTGTAACAAAAATTCCTTGTCACATTGAATCTGTGGCTGTAGTACCGTGTTCTGAAAGAAATTAACTGTATTTTTCTTCAGCTTAGATATGGAGAGAATGTGTTAAGAAATGATACAAGATTGACTTATTCTGAGAATTTTAGTAATTCATAGCAATAGGGAAATTTCATTTCATTTTTCTGACAGCATTTATAAAATGTGTAGGTATCACATAATGAGGATGAAATGTGTCTGAAGTTTGAAGAGGGTGTATTCTTGATTTTCTAAATTCTCATGATGTTATATGATACTGAAGAATTAAGTGGGTTTTTGGGCACTGTCCGTCATTTGGTATTCTAAAGAACACATCGTTTAAGAAATTGGATTTGTTTCTGCCTGGTGATTAAGATTAGCTCTTTCTAGTGGACTCCACAGAGTGGCTGTCCCCCACCCCTTCATGTATGGGTGGAAGAAGTTTCTGAAACATCGTGTTCGTTAGAATATTGGATGATGAACAAAGTCAGAAAACCCCATAATCCAGAGTGCATCTTCTTGATAAGTTAAATACTTCTGTCACTTCACGAATACAGGCAAGTGACAGCCTACTTTTTAGTGCTACCAGTTTGTCCTCGTACTAATCTAAAATCTCTCAGTAAGACCAGTGAAACCCATGTAAACAGATTAAAGGAAATGCTGGATTGCTCTTCCTGTACGTGTACATGCTGGGCAAACTTCTTCATGACTAATTTATAAATTATGTTGTTTGGATGGAGAAGTTGAAGTTTTATCATTTTCATTATTTTGAAATGCCAGTATTTTCTGCAAGATGTCTCAGTGACTACCATCATGAATATTCTAGTTAAGCCACTATTTCAGGTGACTTAGTAGATGTAACTTGGGTGTTAGTTTACTTGGAATTGTAACCCTGGGAAGTCGTGGCAAAATTTTTTTCCAGAACTTCACATATGATTGATACAAAAGTCAGCAGTGTTAGGCAGAACATGCCATTCATCACTGTTGCAGCCTTATTTGGCAGGAGACAAAATCAAAATTGAATACCTCACAGTAGCATGAATCATTTCAGTGGTAATTACTAATACTGTTGGACCTGAGTTATTCCAGGCATGTTTTGAGAAGGAAATGTTAATACTCAGCCAAAGTTTGTCTGCTGCAGATCAACAGTAAAGAACGACAGAAGAATGTAATAGTAAAATGGACCAAAATTATGTTCTGCCACTGACAGCCAAGAGATTTTGACTGGTGACTAATTTACCAATTAGCATTTGAGAGTTCTGGAAATGTCACTTTACCATTTGTGGCAGTAAAAGTAGAGAATCCGTGAGCCAAGACATGTTGCGACATTGCATGACCAATAAACTCATTTATGCACACTGAAATGTGAGCAAGTTGTATGGTATACTGTGTTTGACGGAAAAAAGAAAACTCATATACACTTGGTCTTCGACTTATGACCACAAAAAACAAAAGATGATTAAAATGTAAAAGTTTTTAAAAATAAATTATAAAGATTAGAAAGGTTAAAAAATACTGTTAATAAATACATGGCCGACGTATGACAAGATCGACTTATGATCTGTCAGTCAGAACGGAAGTCGGTCGTAATTCAACGACCAAGTGTATAGTGGTTAGAAATAAGTTGGAGTGCTGTTTGTAGTCAATGTAGGTATAATAGTAAGTCTAGAAAATGTGTTGAATGTACACATGCTCCTTTTCTTCGTTTCAGCAGTGATCCGCTGGCTCCTCAAGTGGGGGAAGTATTCGTGAAGATAATTTCTCACTTCTTCAGGATAAATTGAACAAGTCAGGTTTGTACGAAGTGTTAGGATGGTACTTGGAGCTCTGAAAATATGGCAATGTACCATCTGCTGGTTTTGGAATGGGTTTCGAGAGGTTTTTGCAATTGATCCTGGGCATTCCAAACATCAAAGATACAATACCATTCCCACGATGGCCTCACAATTGCAAATTATAATGTGAAATCAAGTGAATGTAATTTGTAAAAATGTCACAGCTTTTTAAGTGATTAAAATATTTGCGACTGTTGCGTTTTATTTGAACTGCCATGGTTTCCCTCTGGTATTGGATATCCGAGTTGAAATTTAGGTCATGTTTATGGTTAACTTTAGGTAGCTATGTGAAAGGAACATAATGAAGGTATTTAGTGTAGATTAGCAAGATCTTGAGTTTCAGTTCTCTGTATTAACCAAGTTACTATTTTTTATATTAATCATAAACATAAGAAAACTTTGGGGGTCTGGAATATGTTATATATAAAATTGGTGACCACTGAGTAATTTACAAAAATTTTTTTTGCAAATCAGATACCAAGGAGTTATATTGTGTCCTAGAAGTATTTTGATTTAGTGTGGGATGGAAAGCAAGAAATTGGAAGCAGTCTTAATGTAACAAAATATTTTTTTTTTTTTCAAAATCACTAATACATATCATATGGCTATACTTGGTAAAATTAAGGCTGATAACCCACTGACGCGACTAGTCACGAGTGGCTAGCCATGCGTTTTATAAACACGCAACTTTCGCTGACAACCAGACATGGCAACAGTGTATCAGTAGCAAAATGGATGAAGTGATAGCTGGTTTACTATCCCATCATGTTCACTGTCACAAAAACGAACTTGATAGCATTGGATACGTCCCACTTGCTTTACTGTGATTTACATATACGTGATATTTAAGTTTTTCAACTGCACAAGAACGAGCGTGGAATCTTTAAACAAGCTGTTGCAAAATGGAAGGGATACAAATTTTTGTCTGAGCATTCGCCCAGAAGAAAAACTCGTGGTCACTTTAAAGGTTATTGTCAGTATCTGCTATCTTCAGCTTTCTGCACAGGAGTGGCTGTGGCAACGAATTTTGTCCATTGATATTAATTACTTTTCTAGCCGCACGTGACAGCTGTCACCTGTGAACCACAGTCGAATAATGGATGTGCATGGCAAAGCATGGCTAGTTGCTTCAGTGGGTTATCAGCTTAAGCCTTCATAGTTAACTAAATGAAAAAATCATAGCCTATTTTCAAATGCATTTCATTTCTGAGCATTCAGTTGTGCAAATCAAATGTCTACGCAGATATATAATTTTCATCATATGTTTGTACAGCACAGCACAATCCATAATAACATAGTTAACTAAATGAAAAATCATAGGGCATATTTTCAAACGCAAAAATTACATCATAATCATCTTTAATGTCATTTCCAAGCATTCACTTATGCTAACCAAATGTCTGCATATATATATAGAACTTTCATCATCCATTTGTACAGCACACTTCAAATCATTTCACATTACGGAGCACAATCCAGACAGTTCTGATTCTTTCACCGCTGGTGGCAGTACTGTGAGGTTTCTTCCCACCAATCTAGGTTTCAGTTGCACAGGTTCAACACCAGGTGGAGGAGGTTCCTGCAAGTCCCCATCTTCCCCACCTGCTGCTTCCTCCCCACATTCTTTGGTGGCCTCGGCAAGTACTGGACCATGTCCATTATCACTACTTTGATCTGCGGGCAAAATTTCTACATCTCCCTCGCTTTGGGATTCCTTGGCAATCACAGAAGGAAGGGTTGTAATGTTGATTTTAATCTTACCAGGGACAGGGCCAGATGTGATTTGTGGAGAATCCCCAAATTTAACATTGCCATCAAGAGAACATGCTACAGCCGCATATGTTGTGTCAACAGCTGGGGCAGCAGGCTTGACATCTTCCTCCCCTCCAGTTCCTTCCTCAGTTTCCATGGGTTCCTCTTTTACTGGAGTTGCATCCAATGGAGGTTCAAGTTTTACATCCTTCAACGGGTCTTCAATGTCACCCACCTTTTCATCAGCATTTCCTTCTTCAGTTTTAACTTCCTGATCTAAAAAAGAAATGTAAATTACATCAGAAGAGTTTTATTTTTGGAAGAAATATGAAAAACTGAAATTACAATGAGAATTCAAGCCCATCTCTTTCAGCTAAGCACAATCAATGACCCACAACAAACCTTAACTATACTATGGAGAGATTGTCAGGGCAAGACAGAATGGTGATAGTTGTGTAAAGACTTGGAAGGAAAGAGTGCACACAAGGTGCTATCAGTAAGTTCCGAGATTGCTGTTGTAACTGCCTTGATGAAAAAAGAAGAGAGGGTAGGCCAAGGCCACATTTCTGCAAGCCTATTGTGTCAGTCCGCCACGTAACAGTGCACTGTGTTTATGTGGGCGGTTTTTTTTCCCTTTTTTTTTCCTTTTTTTACTTAATATTTCATTTTGTCTGTGGGAGAACATTCTTTTTTATCTCTTAGGATCATAGTGGGTGACTAACACTGGATTTACAGTTATGCTCAAGCAACAATCGTTGCAGTGGAAGAGCCCACAATCACCAAGAGTGAAAAAGGCGTGGCAGGTCTGGAGTTCAACAAAGAGCATGCCCATTGTTTCTTTTTTCAACATGAAGGGGATTGTTCAACGTGAATTTTTCTCCTAACACTACAGTCAACTCTGACTATTCCTGTGAAATTTAGAGACACTTTAGAGAAAATGTGTGACGAAAAAACTGGAACTTTGGCGCAACCTAACTTGCTCCATCACGACAACATGCCCGCCCACACATCCCTGAAGACCACAGAATTTGTGAGTAACAACATGGTAATCGTTCCCCCACCCTCCCTACTCGGCAGACTTAGCCACCTGTGATTTCACTTTTGTTTCCCAAAGTGAAACTGGAGGGACATTATGAAATTGTGTCTGAAATCCCAAAGGGAAATGCAAAGCGCTACTCAACAGCATTAAGGAAAATGACTTCCATGGTACTCCTGAAGCGTGGAAAAACCAATGGCATCACTGTATTCATTCCCAAGGAGACAGCAGCCAAAATTAAGTTAAGCCAGCATCTCTTCTTCTGACCTAGTCCAGGAACTTTCAGATAGCACCTTGTGTGTTAGAAAGATAAGGTGTCTAAGAACGAGCATTCCACAATAATCCTAAAATGATANTACTGGGATGAAATGTTCCGCTTATGCTAGATATGAGTAACAATTTAAGTGGCAATTATTAAAAATATCAAATTATTTTTGAACCAAGTATTTTTATCAATCTCACATTTAAAATTTTTGTGTGTACCATCTGTGAGCTTCATATTTCCACTGTGATCATCATTACATCACGAGAAGATGCAGAAAATGAAAATTAGTGCTGAACTTGGTATCTGTCTGGTACCACAGAAGTGACTGCAGCTAGTGAATACTTAACTGCTACTAAAGTATCTGGTACAAAGCTGGACCAAGATCAGTAAAATACGAGTACATATAATTTGTGGAAATATCTCTGTGACACTATCTTCTTTACACTAAAATTTCTGTTCTCTACTCTGCAAAACGGCGACTTGAATATTAATGTTGCCTGGGATATGGTGCCAGTGTTTGGAGGAACTCTCTTCACTCTTCTGTCCTGCAGATGAAAAGCGTGTTCCTTTGAAATGGCACTTCCTACCACAATATGTGGCACTGCATCCTATGTAGAATGCAACAATCTTCATATTCACCAATGTGAAAATCTCAGAAGGCTTCTGCCTTTGTACCACACACTACACAACAAAATTCCCATTTAAACAATTTCTAAGGGGATTAAAAAAAGGAAATTCACCATTCAGCTATTTGGTCTGGCACCACGGGAACTAAACACTAAATGAGGGGTTCCACAAAGCTCCCTCAATAGGAGATGGCTTTTCAGTGTCATCAGGAACAGCTCCCACATTTTAATCCACAGATGA